CACCCCAGTCACTGTGGGAACCAAGAAGAGGAGGACTGCGACCTGACCCTGATGCCCTCGAGGCCGCCCGAGTGTGAGCCCTGCAGCACGACTGGCCACTTCGGTCACTCAGAAGTCGACTCTGCTTTGCCCACCCCCGGAATGTGAGGAGCAGTTTCTTCCAGCGCACTCCGTCACGGAACATTATTTTCTGGCCAATACTCACTCCCGACAGCAAACCTCCTCACCCTCTTGGAAGGAGGCCCTGCCACGTGGCCAGGTGCCACAAGCCCAGAGGTGAGAGGACGGCCCCAGAGGAGAGGGTGCCCATGGGTGGTAGGTCCACACCAAGCTCCCCAAAACTTTGCCCATCTCAGGCCAACTGCAGCCACACCTGAGCCCAAGTGGCCCCAAGCAAGCGTGGGCTGCTGTGCAGAGGCTCACACCATGCTCGTTCCCAGCCCAATATTTTCAGTAAAAGCAAACATTCCGGCGATTACGAGGAGCCTGACTCCAGGCAGCTCCCCTCGAGACTCCCCTCCCCCGGAATGAATGGGCACACAGGACCCCTGCTCTGCCCTCTCCAAGTTGGCAGGACATTCCCCTACCGCCTCTGGAACTGCTTAAACTCACACAGTGAGAACTCGATTTTAAAATGATTAATCATCACACCTAACCAGGTCCAACACCACAGCCCCCACTCCACGCGGACGGCCTCCGCGTGACGTAGGGGTCTCAGGTTCGAGTATTTGATTGCCAGCTCTGGTCACCCAGACTGCAGCGTGAGGCTTGAGCCCAGGGGCCCTCCTCTCCCTCCAAGCGCACGCACGCTGCACTGGCAACAGGGCCGGCCATGAGCCCTGCTTAGAGTCCAGGCACCCGCAAGGGCCGAGGACCCCCGGACATGGCTCTGCTCCAAGAAGGGTGGGTGGGGACAGGGACACAGCAAGAGCCCACAAAGGCCAACATCCTGGGAAGATAGGCACAGTGACAAGGCCCTGGCGAGGAGGGTAGACAGGGCACAGACGGACAGACGGACACACAGGATTCAGAGGGGATCCACATCAGAATCCCATCCCTTCTCCCCACTCCAGCCCCCACCCCAGTCCTGCCCATCATCCCTCTCCTGGACAGAGGCCTACTCGTCCCCCATGTGCCCACGACAGCAGGGGGACCCTGTCAATCCCCAGTCCCGTCCCGCAGCTGCCCTGCTCAGAGACCCCAGCGGGGTCCGGCCTGCAGGCCACCCTGAGACGGTGTTGGTGCCCCACGCTGCCTCCTCACGACTCCTGTTCACAGCCTCCCCATCTACAAGTCTGACTCCCATAGAAGAAACCCCGTAAAAGGAAGGGAGCGGCCTTGTCACCCCAGGAACCCCCGCAGCCAGCACTGCACCCCACACAGAACGTGCCCCGTAAACATTAACCGACAAAGAAAGGAAACCTCTGCCCATGGAGGACTCAGCACCTTCAGCTTTCGAGCTCTTAAATCCGTGTTACGGATCATGCCTCCAACGCCCTTCAAGTTCAGTGGCACAGGCCCTGAAGCAGGCCAGGGAGCCCCGGTGTCTGAGCCTTTACCAGAGTCATCCCATTTCCCAGGCACAGGGACCTCCATGTCAGGGCGGGCACAGGAGAGCCGCCGGGGTCACTGCCTAGAGTGACGGGTCCATGGCGGCCGGACGCCTGGTTGCAGGAGGGACACACGGGGTCTGGCGGAAGACACAGGGGTGAGGGGCCACCCAGTGCATGCCCATGTGGCTTTATGGCACCCGAATCAGGGAGGAAGGTCCCCAACGTCATGCAGTGCCACACTTCCCTACCAAACACAGACGAGACAGCTCAGAAGACGAAACAGCTGGCAGGGGCCGGGTGCGGACCCCTCCTCCCGCGTCAAAGCCAGCTCCCAGGCGCCCCACCACTGGCACCGTGAAGGCCAGCTGGGCTGACAGGGGCCCCGGCCCCAGGAGTGACCAGCGTGGTCAAGAAGCTCCTGCCTTCCCGGCTGACCATGCTTCCAGCCAGCAGAGGGGCCTCCCAAGGAGGCCAGAGGGGTGCTGGGCGCTCGGAGCACCAGCCGGGGAGAGCGCATCCGGAGAGCAGGCTCTGCCCAGCCACCACTGGCTGGTGACGCTGCCCTGTCCTCCCAGCAGACGGCCAGTCTCAGAGACCCCCTCCCAACCCCGCCAACGGGGCCACACGGAGGGGCGCGAGGGGTCACAGATGGACAAGGAGGACCTATTACTTCAACAGCCGTGTTCATTTTTACAGGTACCGCCCACGGCAAGTCACATGAATGTCCTGTTTCAGAGAATGAGACGAAGTTCCTTCCAAAAGAAACATTCAAGAGACTACGGAGACATGAGAGGGAAGCGTAGCCTGGGGTCCTGGACGGAAAAAGGACCACGAGGAGACCTGGCCAAGGGAGCTGCTGACGCCTGCAGCTGGTCAGCAGGACCACCCGGGGCTCTGCCTCAGTTTCCACATTCGCAGCACAACTGCCAAGATGTCAACTTCAGGGGAGGCGGGCGCCAGGGTCCTGGAAACTCTGCGACCGCTGTAACCCTCCTGTAAGTCTAACAGTCTCAGAGTAAAAGGTTACAAGGTATCCCCACTTCCACAGAGGGGTTCCAGCTGCTGGGTGGGAAGCAGAGGAAGGACAGGTGGAACACAGGCCGCAAAGAGCACATCGCCCGGGTCTATCTGGAAATCGGGAAACTCACCCATCACAACACACACCTTCGGTCACCGAGAAGGGCCAGGTCCAGAGAGGCAGGGGCTTGCCCAGGGCTGTGAGGGCTGCACGTGGCCTGCCCACAAAGGTCCCAACTCCTGTCCCTGTGTTCGCCCATCGCAGGACCTGCCCGGAGCCACTGGGGGGTGGGGACTCCAGGAGGCATCCCAGTGTCAGGGCTCGCTTCCTCAAGGGACCCTGATCAGGTGCAGAGAAGCTGTGCCCCACAGCAGGGGGAATGCACAGCCCCATGCAGACCCCAGGGCCACCCTACACCCTACACAGGGTACCCTACACCTACACGGGTGGAAATGAATCTGAGCTGACCAAACGGTCCGTGCCTGTAACGGAGCCAACCAAAGAAATAAGACAGGAGGAGAGAGGCCCCCAAACACCCCTCCAAGGTGTCACGATGTGTTCCTCTCCTCACCTCTGCCTGGGCCAGCCCAGCAGATGCCACCAGCCCCTCAGGCCCGCCCACAACCCCTCACCTCCGCCCGCCCCTCATTCCTGGGTTCTCTGTCTCAAAGTCTAGCTCAGAACTGGCCTTGCATTCCCAATCTGGTGGAGGGTCCCCAGGCAGCCTGACAAAGGTCTTCCCAGGCCCTCACAGTCCCCCGCCTGGGCATGCAAGGAGCTCTGCAGGCCCTGGAGAGGAGGGAGAGGCCCCCCAATCTCAGGGCACTCAGGGCCAGCTTCTCAACATCTCTGGGACTGAGGAGTCGTGAAGGATCAGATGGCGGCTCTCCCCGCTGATCCAGCCATGAACTCTAAGAGGATGTCAAATGGGGGGCGTGCACAGCAGCTCTGTTCTGGACAGAGCCCAGTGTTCAAACCCAGGCCCCACCGCTTGGGGGGGTCTCTGCAGCCCTGGGCATCCGCAGGAAGGCAGCCTGAGAGGCCGAAATTTCAACGGGTCCCCAGGAGTCCTTCACCACCTCACTGGGGTCCTGTCACAGGGACTCTGGCCAGGTGCTGCCCAACCTGAGCAGGCCCTGTCATGTCTCACTGCCTGGCTCCCCACGCGTGACCTGGCAGGACAGAGGCCATAGCCCATGTTTAAAGGCCACTGGCCTGTCCACCCTAAAACCACCAGGAGGTTCCCCTCCCTGGGGGATCAAGGACCACCCACCACCAGTGGCCCCTCTGTTGTGCCCAGCCCGGCTCCCGGCAGGTCTGAGACCCAGTCGTGGAGGGCATGCAGCCCGGCCAGCCCCTGGCCATGCTGCAGAGGCCCAGACACAGGAGAACCTGTTGGAGCAGTTCGGGCACCAGTATTTACTTCTGGGTGGGAAGGAGCCTCGCTTTTGAAAACTAGGCACGGGGCCAGGTCATGGCCACAGCAAGGGCCAGCCTTGCCTCCCCGACCCCAACTCCCTCGGGGAGCATAAGGTCAAGTCAAAACGGGGTGTCCCCATCCGGAACAGAGAGGAGGGGAAGGGGGGACGTGCGGCCCGGGAGGAGGCGGCAAAGCCACAACACCCCACCCGCAGACACCATCCTGTCACCCGCACTCCCGAGACGCGCAGGCCAGCGGGGCCGGGGCAGGGGACCGCGCAGGGGCGGACTCGGGGCCGCCGGGGGTGGGCGCGCCAGGCCCACGTCCCCAGCCCCGAGCGTCCGGGCCGCCACTCGCGCCTCCGCGGGTCGCGCGGGGAAAGTTCCTGCAACTTCGCGGGGGGCGGCGGGCCGGGCCTGGGCCTCGGAGCCCGGCCTCGGCGGCCCCCTGTCAGCGGCCCGGCCCCCAACTTCCCGGCCCCGGCCCGCGGGCCCGCTTTGTGCGCGGCGGCGGCGAGGGGCGCCCGGCCCGGCCTGGCCCCGGCCCGGCCCCGGCCCCCGCCCCGGGCACAAAAGGGCGCGCGGCCGGCGGGAGGCAGGGGCCGGGGCCTGCGGGCGCTCGGGCCGGGCCGGGGCAGGCCGGCGGGGGCCGGGGCCGGCCGGGCCGGGGCGGCGCGCGCTCACCTGCCGTGGAACCAGTCCTTGCAGGCGTCGCACTCGATCATGAAGCGGGTAACGTCGTAGGGCAGCCGGCAGACGCAGTACACGGGCACCGTCGCCATGTTCGCGCCGCCCGCCCGCCCCGCGGCCGCGCTGCGCTCCGGCTCGGCGGCGGGGAGGGCGGCGGGGACGCCGGGCGGCGGGGACGGGCCGGGGGCGCACGACAGCCCGCTCCGGCCGGCGCGCGCACACAAAGCGGGCGCGGGCAGGGCCGCCCGGAGCCGCCGCCGGCCGGGGCGAGGGCGCGAGTGTGCGCGGGGCGGCCGCGCGCGGGACACAAAAGGGACGGACGCGCGGGGGCGGCGGGCGGGGAGCCGCGGCCCCACCGAAGGGACCCCCGGCCGCCGAGCGGCCTCTACGTCAGCGCCCCGGGTGGCGCCGCCTCCGCCCGCCGGCCTGGGCCGCGCTCCCGCCGCGGAAGGCGGGCCGGGGACCCGACCGCGGGGAGAAGGCGGGCCTGCAGACCTCTCCGGGGAAAAGGTGGGCCGGGGTTCCCCTCGGGGGCAGAAGGTGGGCCTGGGGACCCCTCCGGGGCAGAAGGTGGGCCTGGAGACCCCTCCGGGGCAGAAGGTGGGCCAGGGGTCCCCTCCGGGGCAGAAGGTGGGCCAGGAGTCCCCTCTGGAGAAGAAAGTGGGCCTGGAGACCCCTCCGGGGCAGAAGGTGGGCTGGGGGGTCCCCTCCGGGGCAGAAGGTGGGCCAGGAGTCCCCTCTGGAGAAGAAAGTGGGCCTGGGGAGACAGGCAGGCCAGGGGGTCCCTGCCAGGAGAAGGCAGGCGAGGGACTCCCCCGCGAGGAGAAGGTCCATCTGGAGACCCCTTGTGGGGGAAAGGTGGGCCAGGGGTCCCTTCTGGGGGAAAGGTGGGCCAGGGGAGACATGCCAGGAGAAGGTCCATCTGGTGACCCCTCCTGGGTAGAAGAAGGTAGGCCAGGAGTCCCTCTGGGGGAGAATGTGGGTCAGGGGACCCCACCAGAGGAGAAGGTCGACCTGAAGACCCCACCGGGGAGAAGGTGGGCCAGAGAGGCCCTCTTTGGGAGAAGAGTGATGGGGACCCTGCCAGGAGGAGGTGGGTGGGGGATGGGGAGCAGGACGGGGAGGGGGGTGCTGAGAGGCAGGCCAGGGAGACCCCCTGAGTGCAGGATGAGACCCCCTAGGATGTCCGTCCTGGTTCCAAAGGCCAAGGCACCACTCTGGCTGTAAGCCTGACCCAGCCGCAGGTCACGGGGCAGCCAGGGGTTCCTGCTGCTCCCCCCTCCTCCTCCTCTCCTGCCTTCCCCCACTGAGCTTCTGGCTGGAATACAACTTCCCCTCCCCTCACTCCTGCTAGGGACAGCCTGCCCTCCCTCACACCGCGGACTTCCCTGATGCTCAGCCCCCAGCGGGGAGAGAATTCAGGGGACCCAGGAGCGTTCAGGCACCACTCAGCTCTGTACAGAGAGCGATCACCTGAAATTTGAGCCACCCAGGAACCCCGGTCCGAGCCCAAGGCCTGGCTGACCTAAGGGGCAGGGAGGACAGCAGGCCCCAGACCTCCCCTCCGTGCCCCCGATGAGCCCCACTGGTGGCTGTGAGGGTGCAGGAGCACTCAGCCTGTTCCCTGGGTGGGGATGATGCCATACCCTGCAGTCGCCTGACCCCCACCATTTTTAGAGGCAGGGATCTAGAGGGGTGGCATTGCTGCTATTTTCCAGAAGTAAAAACCGAGGCTCGGAGCAGTTAAATGCCTCATGGAGGGGTCAGTTGGCTGGTGAGAGGGCAGCACAAGCCAGGACCCCTGCCTTCCCCAGGGCCAGAGCTAGGCTTCCGCCCTCGGCCACCTCCCAGGCGCCCTGAGCACACAGAACAGGTCTGGGGGCCGCTCACTGCTGACGGCACTGGGCCCTACCCACCTCCACTCCTGCCCTCTGGACCTGTCCCGTGCGCAGCCGTGTCCACCGGCTTCTGGAAGTGTCCACTGAGATACCTGCCTGTTATTCAGAGCTCTTCCCCGGCTGCCCGTCGACTGCAGACTGCAAGTCCCGACAAGGGTCCCAACTCTTCCTCTGTCGGGCTTCTGCCTGGGACTTCCCTGCCGGCTCCCATCAGAAGGCCCTCCTGCCTGCATGGCCTCCCTGCCTCCCACTCTTTTCCTCAAACACGTGCTGAGCACTTGCTGAGCGCCAGCAGCGCTGTGGCCTGGAGCAAGGCAGGCCCAGCCTTGGGGAGCTCGGATCGCAGTAAAGGGAGACGGCGCGCACACGCAAGTCCTGGTGGCCTGGGCGCCACGGTGGCCGGGGGAACCGGCGCAGGCGGGGGGCGGCCGAGGCAGAGAGCCCCTGAGGAGGTGACCTGGGAGCAAGGCCCGGGCGGGCAAGGCCTCGCGGAGGGGAAGGAGGGTAGAGGGAACAAACTCCCAAGGACCCAGAAAGGAGGAAGCGGCCTCGGCGGTCCAAGGGTCCTGGCCGGCGGCGCTCATGCCTAGAACTCTGCGGCCTCGCTGCGTGGTGAGCCCTTTGCCGCGACACCTGCAGGCCAGGTCCGTCCCACTGCCAGGCGCATCGAGACCTCACACCCACCCCAGTGGCCCGGCTGCTGCAGGGGGAAGCGAGTGGGCTCCCCAGCTGCGCGGCCCCGCTGCCCCTCCACGGCGGCCTCGAATGCAGCGCAGCTGCCGCCCTGCGAGTCAGGCACGCGCCGTCTGAGGCCAGCACGTGTTCATCCGCCTTCTTGCCCGGTGGAAAGACAGCACGAGCCAGGCCGTGGCTATTCGCTCGCTCACTCGACAGGGTACCGAGTGCTGCTACAGGTTTTGTTTTTTTTAATTGTGGTAACATACACAATATAAAAGTCACCATTTTCAGCATTTTTAAGTGTACAGCTCTGTGGCATTAAGTACATTCACAGTGTTGTGCAACCATCACCATCATCCATCTCCAGAACTTTCTCATCTTCCCAGATCAAAATTCTAACCCCACTAAACTCTCACTGCCCACTGCCCCCTCGCCCCCCCAGCCCCCGGCCGCCGCCCTGCTTTGTTTCTTTGAATTTGACTGCTCCAGGGGCTTCATATAAGTAGAATCACACAGTATCCGTCCTTTTATGTCTGGCTTTATTTCACTCAGTATAACATCTTTAATGTTCCTCCATGTTGTAGCAGGCGTCAGAATTTCCTTCCTTTTTAAGGCTGGATAATATTCCACTGGGTGGATGGACCACATTTGGTTTATCCCTTCATTGCTGATGGACATTTGGGTTCCTTCCACCTTTTGGCTGCTGTGAATTATTCTGTGTGAACATGAGTGTGCAAATACCTGTTCAAGTCCCAGCTTCACTTCTTTTGTGTGTATACACAGAAGTGTGACTGCTGAATCATATGGTAGTTCTATTTTTAACTTTTTGAGGAACCACCACATTGCTGTTCACGGCAGCTGCACCATTTTACAATCCCACCAGCAGTGCACCAGGGTTCTAGTTTCTCCACATCCTCATCAACACTTATTAATTTGGAGGGGTTGGGTTTGGGTTTGTTTTGGGGTTTTTTTTATTATAGCCATCTTAAAAAATTTTTTTTGATTGATTTCACAATGTATAGTTCAATATAATGCCAGGGGTTTTTTTGGTTTTTTTTTAAGATTTTATTTTTCCTTTTTCTCCCCAAAGCCCCCCAGTACACAGTTGTATATTTTTTAGTTGTAAGTCCTTCTAGTTGTGGCATGTGGGCCACCGCCTCAGCATGGCCTGACGAGTGGTGCCATGTCTGCACCCAGGATCCAAACCAGCGAAACCCTGGGCTGCTGCAGCAGAGTGTGCAAACTTAACCACTCGGCCACGGGGCCAGCCCCATAATGCCATTTTTTAATGGCAAAAAATTTGGTTCCACTGAAACCCAGTGGTCATTGTGGTTTTGATCACCATTTCCCTGATGATCAGTGATGTTGAGCGTCTTCTCATGTGTGTATTGGCCGTCTATATATCTTCTTTGGAGAAATGTCTATTTGAGTCCTTTCTTCGTTTTTGATTTGGGTTGGTTGTTTTTGCTGTTAAATGGCAGGAGTTCTTTACGTATTCTGGGTGTTAGTCCCTTACAAATGGGTTATATTATTTGCAAATATTTCCTCCCATTCTGTAGCTTGTCTTTTCCCTCTTTTGATTGATCGTGTTCTTTGATGCACAAAAGTTTTTAATTTTGGTGAAGTCCAATTCATCTGTTTTTTCCTCTGTTGCCGGTACATTTGATGCCATATCCAAGAAGTCACTGGCAATCCAATGTCAGGAAGCTTTTCCCCTGTTTCTGTTTCCTTCTAAGAGTTTTATAGTTTTAGTTTGTAAGTTTAGGTCTTTGATCCATTTTGGGTTAATTTTTGTATGTGGTGTGGGGCAAGGGTCCAGTATCATTCTTTTGCATGTGGATATCCAGTTTTCCCAGCATCCTTTGTTGAAGAGACTGTCCTTCCCCACTGAATGGTCTTGGCACCCTTGTCAAAAATCATTTGACCATATGGGCAAGTGTGCATTTCTAGGCTCTCTAGTCTTTTCCATTGGTCTGTATGTCTGTCCTTATGCCAGTGCCACGCTGATTACTCTAGCTTCGTAGTAAGTTTTTAAATTAGGAAGTGTGAGACCTCCTACTTTGCTCTTCTTTTTCAAGATTGATTTGGCTCTTCCAGGCCCCTTGTAACTCCGTATAAATTTGAGGATTGGCTTCTCCATTTCTGCAAAAAGTCTTGTTGGAATTTTCTCAGGGATTGTGTTGAATCTCTAGAACGCTTTGGGTAGTATTGATATCTTGACAATATTACGTCTCTGATCCATGAACGTGAGATGACTTTCCATTTTTTTGTGTCTTCTTTAATTGCTTTCAGCAATGTTTTGTAGTTTTCAGTGTACAAGTTTTTTGTCTTCTTGGTTAAATTTATTCCTAGGTATTTTTTTTTTTGGATGTTATTGTAAATGGAATTGTGTTCCTAATTTCCTTTTGAGATTGTTCATTCTTAATGAATGGAAACAAAACTGATTTTTTGTGTGTTGATTTAGTATCCTGCAACTTCACTGAATTTATTTATTACTTCTAACGGTTTTTGGTGTTTTTTTTTTTTTGAGGAAGACTGGCCCTGAGCTCACATCCGTGCCTATCTTCCTCTATTTTATATGTGGGACGCCTGCCACAGCATGGCTTGCCAAGCGGTGCCATGTCCACACCCGGAATCCAAACCGGGGAACCCCAGACTGTCGAAGCGGAATGTGTGAACTTAACCCCTGCACCACCGGGCCAGCCCCAACCTCTAACGGGTTTTTGTGGAATCTTTAGAGTTCCTAAATCTGATGGTTTTTGCATGATATAAGATCGTGTCATCTATGAACAGAGATAATTTTACTTTTTTCTAATTTTAATGCCTTTTTTCTCTTTTTCCTGCCCAATTGCTCTGGCTAGAACTTCCAATACTATGTTGAATAGAAGTGGTGAAAGAGACCATCTTTCTCTTGTTCCTGATCTTAGGGGAAAAGGTTTTTTTTTTAGTCTTTCACCATTGAGTATGATAGTTGCTTTCACCATCTTTTTTTTCTTGGTATGGACGATTGGCCCTGAGCTAACATCTGTGCCAGTCTTTCTCCACCTTGTATGTGGGATGCCACCACAGCATAGCTTGATGAGCAGTGTGTAGGTCTGTGCCCAGGATCCAAACCCATGAACCCCAGGCTGCTGAAGTGGAGCACATGGACTTAACCACCACACCACCGGGCCAGCTGCTTTGTGCTTTTTATATCCGGCCTTTACTAGGGTGAAAACGTTTCTAGTTTGTTGAGTATTTTTATCATGAAAGGGTGTTGAATTTTGTCAAACGCTTTTTCTGCATTGATTGAGATTATAATATGGGTTTTTTTTTTACCTTCATTCTGTTAATGTGATGTATTATATTGATTGATTTTTATTGATTTGAAGGATGTTGAACCATTCTTGCATTCCAGGAATAATCCCATTTGGTTATGGTGTCCCATCCTTTTAATACGCTGTTGAATTCGGTTTGCTAGTATTTAGTTCAGGATTTTGTATCATTGCTCATAAGGGATATTGGTTTGTTGTTTTCTTGTACAGTCTTTGTCTGGCTTTTGTATCAGGGTAACACTGGCTTCAGGGAAAGGGTTAGGAAGTGTTCCCTCCTCTTCAATTTTTAAGAAAAGTTCAAGGATTGGTGTTAATTTTTCTTTAAATTTTTGGTAGAATTCACCAGTGAAGCCATCTGATCTTGGGCTTTTCTTTGTCAGGAGGTTTTTGATTATTGATTCAATCTCAATAGTTATAAGTCTACTGAGATGTTCTACGTCTTCATGATGCAGTTTTGGCAGGTTGTGTGCTTCTAGGAATTTGTCCATTTCACCTAGGTTATCAAACGTATTGGTGCACAGCTTGTGCAGTTTTTATAGCTGTGAACGAGGAGACACCTTCCTACCTCCAAGGAGCTCATGTGCCAGAGCAGGAGGCAGACAACTGTCAGGGGGTGGGAGATGCAAGAAAGGAGATGCGACTTCAGTGTTGGAGTGTGCTTTCGTGACGGATGAATCCATTCTGGTGAATGCAAAGAGGGTTGTAAGAGCAGACCTTTCTCAGGATCCCTGGACCAAGCTGATCTGATCCAGAATTGACTGAAATGAACAGTGACCCATGGGAACTTTGGAAGCCTTTTGGGTTTTTCTGACAGCTATGAAAGTGCCTTTTTGTTGACCATCTCTGGGATGGCCCTGTGATGTTTGGAAGCAGTGAGTTTGTACACAAAACCCCCTCAGCTAGACGACCATATAATTTACTGTCCAAAAGGGTACTGTTAATAAGATACCAGAACAGGGACAAACTGGGGCTATTCCAGACAAACTGAGACCAGGGCGACCCTCCTGTGGCGCACACTGGGGTCATTCAGGTCTGCAGGAAGGACGAGCACAAATGCCAGGAGTGGCACAGTGGGCGGAGGTCTGCCGAGGTCTGCCGAGGGCGCCTCCACTGTGGGCTCCATGAGCTGCGGTGCCGCCACCGCCCGGGGCAGAGCGCCTAGTGCAGAGACCGCTTGGGCCCCACCCTCTTAGGCCAGGTCCTTGGGTCACCTGGGCCCCGGGCCATGCCAGGGGAGCTAACAAGGCGAGGAGCGGAGACCAAGCACCCAACAGCCTAGGGCCCACGTGGGGAGGGCGAAGGTGGGCTCCAGGCCAAGCAGCCTCTGCAGGGTTCACTCTGCCAAGTAGGGAGGAAGGAGTGGTGGGGAGGGGCAATAGACAGCATTCTCAGGAGAATGGAGGGTGGGACAAGACCAGCGGAAGAGAGAGCGGCTCCTGAGGATATGAAGTGCGGCCACAGGCTCCTCTGAGGAGCGAGGACAGAGGGAGGGTGAAGAGGGTGTGGCACCCTTGCTCCTTGCAGGGGTGAGTGGATGAGGGTACAGGTGGTGAATTAGTTCTTAAGATTCTTGCCTTGGTCTGGGTTTTTAGAATCCTGAAAGAGCCAGGACATGAGAAGTTCTCTGTCGACTGGAGGAGGGAGAAACCAAGGGCACAGTAAATGTAAGAAGGGGACCATCACCCTGTCTGGCAATGAACACAGTGCAAGTGAAAACCAGAGGCCAGTCTTCCTGTCAGACCCGCGAATTCAGGGCGGCCAGCACCCAGCCTCACCTCCCACCCTCGCCTTCCTTTGGACGAAATGCTGATCACCTGCAGGGGTGCTGCCTCTGCTCTGAGACCACCAGGAGTTGGCTCCCAACCTCCAAAGGGCTACCAGCCCAGAGCCCTCACCCCATGGCTTCTCCTCCCCACCTTGGGTACTCTCTCCGTCCCTTGTTCCCCACTCTGCACAGACCTCATCCTTCTCATCCCCCAGCCACGTGCCCGTCACCCGTGTTACTGACCTCTTGTCTGAAATGGTCTTATTTGTACATGAGTCAGGGCCGTTGCTGGGGGTCTAGAGCAGCCCCCAACACAGACGCTCCATCAATATGGGGATGTGCGGCCACATTGGGCAGGCAGGGACATGACGGTGCAGCCACCGGGGAACCGTGGGGCTATGGCAGAACAGAGTGGTGGGGAGAGACAGCCCTAATGTGATGCCAAGTGGGAGGAGATGCTACAAAATGGGTATGGATGGCTTGATGATTTTCTGTAAAAAAATGAAAACAAAAATCTCTGTATTGCAAAGAAAAGATGAAGACCAAATATTAACAACAGGTGTCTTGGGTGGAGGAATGACCAGTGATTTTTCTTTTCCTTTCTGTTTACCTGTATTTTTAAAGTTACTACAATAAACATTACTTTTGAAACAAACAAAAAATAAAGCTATTTTTAAAACACGAAAAGAAAGAGTCTGGACAGGGTATGACTTGCCCCAGGGGCGAGGCCAGGTCAGAACCCTAGCCCCAGCCCCAGCCTGGCCACGCTGGCCGCTGGCCCCTCGCCTATCTCGGATGCCACTCGGGCCTTCCTCTGCCATCCTAGTGACCTGGGAGGGACGGCCAGCAGGGCCCCCACCAAGCGTGGTGTCCTGGGCCTCCCTGTGCTTCCCGCCCAGGCTCGCCCCGCGCTGGCTCCCTTCTCCAAACCACAGGGCTGCTCTTCAGGCGGGTGCACCTGCCCCAGGGAGGCGGGGAAATGTGCGCGCTGAGCGGTTGCAGCTGTCACCGTGGAGAGGCACCGCTGGCACCTGCGGGTAAGGCCAGTGGCCCTGAGAACACGGCCTGTTCGGAAAAGGCTGCCCCCGCAGGAAGGCTGCCAGGCACCCCCGACGGACGCTGGGTTAAACGCGCCCCCCACGGCCTAGGCAGCCGGGCCTGTGGCTCCTGCAGGATCTCCGGAGCCGCCCGCCCGCACCGCCTCCCACCGGGGAGGGCAGGGCCCGGGCCCGGCGCTGTGGCCGGAGCGCCCCCGAAGGCGGAGGGGCTCCAGCGGGACCGGCCCCGGCGGGCGGCCGCGAGGGCGGACGAGGCTCAGCGAGCAGAGGCTCAGGGAGCGGGCGTCCTCGGTTTCCTCCAGCCCGCGCCGCGGGCCGCAGGGGCGGAGGGCAGCGGCAGGCGGGCTCCGCACCCCGCGGGGACGCACTGGCCGGGCAGCGGGCGCAGAGCTGCAGGCCGCGGGGGCACTGTGGCCGGCCTGCAGGACGTGAACTGCGTCGCACACCGAGCAGGGAAAGCCCGCCGGCCGCCCCGCAAGGCCGCGCTCACCGTCCCCAAGGACGCGGTAGGCGGAGCTCGGCCCCAGGCCCTGGCCTCCCCGGGCCCGGCCTGGGATGCCGCGGGGACGCGCTCGCCCGCAGGCCTCAGGAGGCGTGCGCGCGCACGGCCCCGCCCCGCCTCGCGCACGGCGCGCCCCGCCCCACGCAGGCCCCGCCCCGCCCCGCGCACGGCCCCGCCTCGGCCCACGTAAGGCGCCCCACCCTGCGCACAGGCCCCGCCCCGCCTTACGCACGGCCAGGAAGCGCGCAGGCCCGGCGGGGCCCCGAGGCTCCGTCGCCGGCCGGGGCGGCCCGCGCCCTCCGACGCCCGACTCTCTCGCGGTGTCGCCGGCTGCGGCGCGGAGGAGGCCGCACGGCCCACGCCGACTCGGAAGGCGGGGCCGGGGCGCGCGCTCAGCGCAGGGGAGGCGCGGGCGGGCCAGGGCCGGGCCTCGGCGGGCTCGGCGCGGACGGGGGACGGGGGCCGGCCACAGGGCCCACGGAGGCCTGACACCTGCACGTCAGGCGGACACGAAACCCGAACAAACGGTGGATCTGAGTGATCGAAAAAAGCGTTTTAACCAAGGTCAAATTTATTTCCTCCCCGAGCTGCTTATAAGAAATCAAACTTGTGTTTCTGCGGCTGCTCTACCCAAGAACGTCCTGCTCGTGAGGATGAGACCCCGACGCCAGCACCTGCACCTGCACGCAGCCACGCGTGCTGCTGAGAGCTGGGAACCGGGAATTGCTCGCAAAGAGCAACACATTTCTAAATTTTGGTTATTTGCCCAAGCCCTTAAGTAGCTGTTTCAATTTGAATTAAACCTCAGTAAAATTTATGTTTTTACAAGGAATTTAAAAGCCACGCCATACTTTATACTAAAAGAATAAAGATTTTTATTAAGCATTGTAAGTTGCATTCAATAGCCTTCAGGTACACCACACCACAGCCCATCTACAATCAGTCAAACCCAACAGCAGTTCATTCTTGCACAATCCATGAGTTAGGGCGGAACTCCCTTCAACTTACAGTAAGATCCTACTCAGGTCTTGCGGGCAGGGATTGGGGAATTACGTCTCATTTCTGATCACTAACGTGTGATGAAGAGCATCAGGAGAATTATATGAAAACGAATAAGAAGTGATTCTGATTTCAAAGTACATTGTTTGGAAACATTAACAAAAACATCAAAATGATATAAGTATACCTGCTTCTACTAAATTCTTGATGGGAAAGTTCTCAAGAACAAGCAATTTGTTTCCTGCTACAGAAGGGGGGGTTGTTTTTTTTGTTTTTTTTTTAAGGATCAAAGGGATTTTTTTTTTGTTTTTCACAGAATTTCATATTTTGCTAATATGAAGGCAAAAAACAGCAACAAAGAACAATAATGCATACAGCAGTGAATACACCAGGGTAATGCTGATATTCGAAACAGCTAGATAATTTTGGGGGGTTTTAGAATAAATGCAACAGAGGTCAATAATCACAAAATTTTAAGGTTAGAGCAAGATCAGCCCATGACTAAACAGAGTTAACATCGTTTATAGGACTATTACTGATTATTAGCATTTTTGTTTTGCAAATGGGCACATACTGGTAAGAATGGAAGAGAGGACAATAACATGCATAATATTAACTACACACTTGAAAAATCATGAACCATGCAGAAGTTTAGCTCAAGTAGTAGCACTAATGGTCTACGTCTGATTCAAACCACATAGTTCATTGATCACAGATGCATGGTAATTAAGTCACGAAAAGTTTCAGAACACATTGTGTTGATTTTGAAAGGTCATTTGCATCTTCTATGATTTCAACTTTATCTCCATTTAACTTGCTTGTAAAGTATGTATGATGTACTGTATATTTAAAATCAGCAGAACGGCAATATTACTCTATAATTTTTTACTTTTGATAGTTGCACTTTTTTTTAACACAAAAGAACCACATCAACAGTGATGAAATTTAAGAAAGAAAAACTGTGGTTGTGCCTTATTTCTTTCATAATCATAAAATCAAAGCCTTAGACAAAGCTTTCTTGTGAACAGTAATGCAAAATCAAAGATAATGGCATACATATGGTGCCAAATGCTAAAAATGATATTTTAAGCTATATATACTTAAAGACTGCCAAAATTTGTTTTCTTTATAGTTCAAGAAACACAACTATAGGCTTTTGTCATAACCAGTTTAAACTTTGTGTGTACTTCATTTTAAGTGTGGGAGTCAAATGCTCTTCATTTTCTTTCTCTTTTTTTTTTATTGTAGCATTTTGACTACAACTGGTTAAAACTAAAAATGTGTTGTTTAAATCTCTGATATCAAAGAGGGATCCGAATTTCCAAAGTCCTCATTTTTCTCTTACGGAAAGGAAAAAATGTACGTAACTGTAGGCTCTCTTTCTCTCCAGATATTCCTAAATCCTTACCCTTCCAGCATCCTTCACCCTCTATAAAAATAAGTTTACTCTTCTTTCTTTAAGACAGCTGCCTCCAGAGCGTCAGCTCGACGGCGAGCACTGTCTGTACTTAGTGCATTTAAGTGAGGATTTGTATTGCACGTCTTAGAGTCATTGTTCAAGGCACTTTCCGAGTGGCTGGGGGCCCTGGCGTCGCCCGCACTCCCGTTCATCTGGGGAGCCGGCTTCTCCTCAGCCACTGCTCCGTTTTCAGCCAGGGACCCATCTGAAGATACAGCAGAGGACTTGGACTCCCCGGACCTCGACTTCAGTTCTTTGGCCACTTCTTCTGCTGAAGCTGCATAAGGAGGCTTGCCCTGTTTAAACAAAGGACAACAAGTGATGAGGCAGCTTTTGATAAACAGCAGGAAAGAGGAGACCCCATCTGAGGCCTGATGACACTGGCTGCAAATTCAAGAACAACACAGAGCGTGGCTGCAGAGTGTGTACTCTCTGCTCTATGCATATTCTGTTACATACCCTGTGCCCTCCACAGTCGATACTCTCTCTGCTCTATGCATATTCTGTACTCTCTCTGCTCTATGCATATTCTGCGATATACACTGTACCCTCCACAGTTGATAGTCTCTCTGCTCTATGCATATTGTTACACACTCTGTACCCTCCCTAGTCCATACTGTCTGCTCTATGCACATTCTGATGTTCTCTGTAGACTCCACAGTCGACACTCTCTATACTCTCCATAATGTGTACAGTCATTGCACAGAGTGGGGCTGGAATGTCCATCACCTTTTCCTTACGGACATTCTCTTGTACATCAGGGTTTACCACACTCTCCCTTGGGCTCAATTTCCCACAATGTCTTCTCTTTCTAGTTTTCAATCCTAGAGCTCAGAAACAGTAATATAAACTTTTCCAGAAGTCAATACTACGGTCATTTTCTCAGAACCTGGAGAAAAATAATTTATGTAAAAATATAGCAGGTCCAAGAAGGGGAGAAAAATAATACTGAAGATTTCGAGTACATGCTCTCAAACCCCAATGCCCTTACTCTCAGGGAAAAGTCCACTCGCCAAACTAAATGAACACTTGTCATGGTATCGACAGTGGTGATGGAGCCACCCCCTCCCAGATGCCTGCTGCAGTAACTGCATCCAGGGGCCTGTTCATTAGAGAACCCCTCAACAGTCACTCCTGGGGGGAAATGTGGGGCATGCGTGCAGGATGCAAGAGGGCTGAGAAGGAAAGCCAGCCTGTACCTGTTTGGAAACAGGCATTCCCTCTCCCTAGAGCCACTGCTTCCCGTAAGCCTTGGCCACTGTGAGGCGTCCCCCACCTCTAAATGCTCCACAAGCAGAGGGCAGCACCACCTCCTCCACCCAATGACAGAGTCTCTTAAAACTGGCCCCAGCAGGACGGCAGTAACAGAGATGGGAGAGACGGGCCAGAAATCTCAGGAACAAGCTGCCCTTCATCATCTGTCCTTCTCAAGGGGCAAGAACATTAATGTCACCTAAAAATGAGCCACAGAAAGTACCAAGATGGAAGTGCACAGAACACCATTATGAGAAAACGGGGAAGGAATTACATCCTATGGAGAATGAAATATGTCAGAAAGGCATGCCCATCAAAGACCAAGACTGCGTCCTCTGACTTCAAAACAGGCAGTGGCAGGACAGAAGGAGAACGAGCAGCACAGATCAAACCAAGAAAAGCCAGAAATAAGGTAAAAAATTTAGAGAAGAATTCAAAAGAAAAAGAAAAAGAAAAAATAATTCCAGAAATGAAGACTAACTAGAAGAAACACACCACCAAATAAACATGGTAATACCTTAAGAAGGTGAAAAGGAAGAAAAACTTTTGAAATCAGAAAGAAACGAAGATAGAGAATATGCAAACCAAACACACGAGATAGCACTTCACACCCAGTAGGACAGCCAACTAAAGGACAGACAGGAACAAGTGCTGGCGAGGAGGGAAAGTGGAAGCCCCACACACTGCTGGTGGGAGTGGAAAATGGTGCAAGAGCTGTGGAAGACAGCCAGCTGGCGGTTCCTCAAATGCTTAAACATGGGGTCACCATACGCCCCAGAATTCACTCCTACACATGCACCCAAGAGGACCGAAAATGTGTCCTCCCAAAAACTTGTACATAATGAATGCATATAGTTAACAATACTGTATTGTTTATTTGAAAGTTGCTAAGAGAGTACAGTTGTCCCCCGGTGTCTATGGGGAATTGGTTCCAGGACCCATAGATACCAAAATCCCCAGACGCTCAAGTCCCTACATATAAAATGGTGCAATATTTGCATACAACCTATGCACATCCTCCCATATACTTTAAATCATCTCTAGATTACTTACAGTACCTAATACAATGTAAATGCTCTGTAAATAGTTGTTATACTATTGTCTAGGGCATAATGACAAGGAAAAAAGTGCACATGTTCAGTACAGATGCAACCACTATAGGCTTCTCAATCACAGCTGGCTGAACCCACAGATGCAGAACCCATAGGTGTGGAGGGCTGACTGCAGATCTTAAAAGTTCTCATCACAAGACAAAAAACTTTGTAACTGTGTGAGGTGATAGATGTTAACTAGACAATGTGATGATACTGATTTGATATACATACAAATATCAAATCACTATGTTATACACCTGAAACTAACAGAATGTTATATGTTGATTATATCTCAATAAAACTAGGGGAAAAAACCAAACTTGTATATATGTTCATGGCAGCATTATTCATAATAGCCAAAAAGTGGACACAACCTCAATGTCC